AGTATTAATATAATCATTTCATAAATAATAATATATAATGAATATAACAAATAAACAGATAACAACTAAAATTGTATAGAAATAAAATAGAAATAAAGATAAATAACAACTAAAATCATTATAATACCAAATTTAAATAAATAAAAAGAAAGGAAATGAACAATTTATTAACTAATCAAAATGATATTTGATATTAAAACATTTTAAAATAACATGACTAACACAGTAAAAATAATTAATGATTTATTTATTTGATTATAAATAGGTAGTATTATGGGATTTCATAAATACAGAGAAAATCGATGATAATTTAAATATTATTAATTAGGATAAACTATAAATAACCAAAAAGAATTATAACTCCAAAAATAAGGTAGCAGACAAATTCTATATTATAATATTTTAATTATTTATTTTAATTATTTAACTTTTTATTAATTTAATGAATGAAAACATTATTTATGAATGTCGATATCTAATTGATTCATTTCTATTATTATTCATTTTATCCTTCTTGTTATCTTGTTTTTCATACTTTACAATATTCAATAAAACAATATGAAATAATAATTAAATATATAATAAACAAAGAACATGAATTATTTAATGAAATAGTAATAATCAAATTAACATAAAAATATAAATATCTCAATAAATAAGAAGGAGAATGAATGATAAAATATAAAATAAATGAAATATAATAATAGATCTTGTTTAATAAATTTTTTCCTTAGTTCTTAATAAAAACATTTAGATGATTAATTAGTATTTATAAAGATATCCTAATACAATACATTTATTAATTATATATAATGAATGGTTCGAATGTGGAACACCAGAGACACCATGTAGAACCCTAAAATAAATCCACAGTTATAGTCTGATTATGATGTTACATTTAGTTAGAAAAAATCTTACTCAATATAGCAATAATACCAATGATTATTATTTGCAGTGATGGAATATCATTGGTAATAAAAGGGTTAGTATTTATAAAGATGGTAGTATTACTTGTTAGGGTGCAAGTATATTTGATAATATAGGATTATCAAAAGAAAAGGATCTGGTTGTTATTGTTGATGCTAAAATGAAAATTAGTCATAGTAATATTGTGATAATGATATATTCTTCTTAAAATAAAAAAATAAAGATGAATTTTAATATTCATTAAAATCAAATAGGAACTTAAATGATGAATACTTAAG